GGGGAATGTTCACGTGTAGCGGGGATCCTATGGATCCCCATGGATACTAATAGCTAATGAAAAGGGTGTTGTTTGATGATTTGAATATAAAAGCATGACATGTGCTATGTTACAGATTATATATGAATTCATAATATTTATAATATTATTATTTTCATTGGTTGTTTTTTATAAATCTCACTGTGGTAAGTGGACGGTAAATGTTTTGATTATTGATAAATGAATTTGTTTAAATCTACTGCTCCATTGGTTGTTTTAATTTTCTACCAACTTTTACTTCTGTGACGGTGAATAGTATAATGTCCTTACTGAACTAGTGTAGCTCATTCTTTATTTAACCATTTCAGATCAGAATGACCTGGTTCCCGAGCCCGATCCACAAGAAGACGGTGAGTAAATGCTAGATGTCTTATAGTTTTCTTTATACTTCTTTCATTTCTAGTATTTCCTTTAAAGAACTTATTTTTTAATATTATTAAGTACTTTTAAGTTATTGTGTAAGCGATATTAATCTAAATCTTTTATTTCGCTTCCGCACTCAAATTTTTATATGCATTTTCTTTTGAATTTACGGGGTCGTTACAGATCCGGTCGGCCACCGGACAACGAGAGAACCCACGTTGTTATGCGAACAAAGAGTAAACAGGAGAGAAATAGGAAAAGATAGGGAAAAGGTTGTTGCTTTGAGAAGATTCAGATAGTAGAGAAATTGCCCCAACTGTTTTCACATAATTGCCACAACAAATCGCGAGACAACATAACAAATGACACAAGCAAATACTAAAATAAATTTTCATACACATGCATATTCATCAGTGATTTCAGAAACTTCTACAACTTAGATACTCTAGATGTTGGAAGAAAAGAATAGAAGAGATTTTAGAAACTGGTTTTCAGCCGAAACTTGAACCATACAATTGATAAATGCTGACTGTTCTATTCATGCAAATAAAGTTAGGTTTAGGAGAACTCGTTAACTACTAGGAATTCACTATGTACAGAGCAAAAATAGGCAAGGGTTTTGCTGTTTTCAGCAGCTATCGATGCCCTTTAACCTGTCTTTCATCATAAAACAAACATACAGCAAGTATAGAGTAGATAGGTGATCATTTGTATCTCTGAATATTTTGTTTTGCTTCTTTTTGCTCTTTTGGCAGCATAAATTTGTTATTCTCCTATAAGAGGATATAGAATACAGATTTATTTTTCTCTATAGAACTAAAATATTTTCTGAACACAGTTATTTATTTGACAAAGCCAGATTGTGAATTCCCAAGCAACTTCCCTATTAACATTAACGAATTCAGAAATATCAGTCTTTCAAAAAAAAAAATCAGAAATGCCAGATGTCACTATCTCGTATTTCATGATAAAACATTTAAGATAAAAAAAAAATATTGATATATATCTAAGGAACCAATTAGATCTGTGAATGGTTAAATGATCATCGCAGAAAGGTTTCACCACTTTAGGAAGGCCAAAATCAGCAAAGCACAACAACCAGATTATTCCATGCAAATAAAGTTGTATTACTATAAAAATGTTGGGGGAAAGTGTTATAATTGTAGAAGTCTGGGGACAGGGACAGAAACTATGCATAGATTACTTTGACATAAAATCATATAATCATTAGATATTTGAAACATATACTCTCACTAAATTTGGTTGTTAAAAGTTGCCCCTTTGCCATAGTTAAATATGCAAGGACTAATTCCTTTCTTTCAATTAAGGGAAGACATTGCACAGTGGATATATACAAGAAAAATGTACCTTCAAGTGACCATGAACTAGCACCATCAGCAACACCTAGCCAATTCTGACAAATAACAAAATAAGCATCCTCTCCACCTGCCAACACCTGGAAATTATTATTTTCTGAATTATTACCCAGAATATTTGAATTCATTCATATCATCATATAGCCTAAAATTCATAAAGATTCCTAATTCCCTTTCTATGAGAAAGCATAATAATGGCCAATGTAATGAACTTTTCTTTTACGGTCTCAAGATGCTTATGGATGAAAATTTTTGTAGATGCAGAGCAAACAAAAAACAGCAAATGCGGACAAATAGGAAATTCCAGATTGAATCTCTGAGAATTCCAAGAAACAGGAGCCCAGCTGCCAATCTAATTATTGCAAGTAATACATATATAACCAGTTCCTTTCTCGAATGGATACTCCATCTTTTTCTCCAAATATTATTCAGAGTGTAATATATTATGAGAAAATGAGTACAATAAATGAAATGTAGGCCAATTGCCAGGTACCTTAGACAGCTGTGGCAGTGAAGCAGCACCAGAGGACAAGAAAAATCCTTTGGCTGATACATCCTCCCTGTTCAAATATAGTGAACAATACATAAGAAAGAGACGAGTAGGTAACTTTTCCTCAATGAATTTAATTAATTCATCTCAGTGATGACACTCCTAATAATATTATAACTTCCTCTGCAAGTAAAGTTAAACTGTATCTGTATATTATAATACCTAAAGAAAGATATTCTAATATTTGTCAATTCCCAAATCTGATGGTGATAAAAAAACATACACTGGCATTTAGCAAATGAAATGTTTCCATTTCAATTTTTGTTTTCCATAGAAATGAAGGATGAGGCTAAGCTCAAATACAAAAAAGAAAAATATAAAGATAAGTCTTTCTACAACTTTCCAAGGAGTGGAAGGGAACTCCATGTAAAATCATAAATGCAGTGAATTGTGATGTTCCATATCGCACTTCAGTAGTTTACCGAATTCATGATGGTACAAAATATAATATTTGCATCAATCCAATTCCATATCATATTAATTATTTGAGTTTCTCTTGTCTGTTATTATGAGCTTCCAGTGTGGCATGAATTGCTCAGAACTGTCTGCAATTTTGCTCACAAAGAAGTATTCAGAGGGGAGTTTTTGGTGCTCCACATTGTACATCGACAATGTGAGGAGAACATATATTTAATATTTTTAAACATAATGCTTATTAGTCATAAGACCGTGATCTTAAAAACAATACCAGAAACAAATAAAGTCCACTCTTTTTTAAAGAGAATAATGTACAGCAGCATTATATAACCGGTACGAGAAATATACAGACCCTAATTAATAGGATTCTGTCATCCTAATTTAATCGTTCTAAATATAAAAGATTTACAAGATACTGTAGAATATTCCTACATGCTAAAAATACAACCAATCATCTTAAATATAGAATAAATAATTAATCTTGAAATTATAGTCAATTATCTAAAATATAAAATAAATAATTAATTGACTTTCCTTCACTCCCCTTCAAGTTTGGCTGTAGATGTTGTGGAGTCCAAACTTATCAATTAATCTCTCAAAATTGGGTCTCCAAAGACTTTTAGTGAAAATATCAACTGCTTGACTCAAAAGTAAAACATAAATGATAGACACCATACCATATTCTATCTTTTCTTTAATGAAATGACAGTCTATTCCAACGTGTTTCGTTCTGTCATGATAAACTGGGTTGTGAATGATACTAATAACAGCTTTGTTGTCACAGTATAGCTTTAGTGGTTCACTTGCTTGTTGCTTTAATTCTCCTAGTAAATTTCTCAGCCATATCATCTCACACACACCGTGAGCCAAGGATCTCAACTCAACTTCTACATTGCTTCTTTTAACCACAGTTCGTTTTTTACTTCTCCAAGTTACTAAATTTCCCCAAACAAATGAACAATAACCTGAAGTTGATCTCTTATCTGCGACTGATCTTGCCCAATCAGCATCTGTAAATGTTTCAATACCCCAATTTAAGGTTTTCTTGAAGAATAAACTTTTCCTTGGAAATCCTCTTAGATATCTTAAAACTCGTGTAACTGCAGCCATGTGTTCCTCTGCAGGTGCATGTATAAATTAGCTGACATAACTCACAGTAAAACTAATGTCAGGTCTAGTATGTGAAAGGTTTGACAACTAATCTTTGAAACCTTCCTTTGTCATCCGGTTTGCTTGTTTTTAAACTGCTCAATTTTACATTAGGATCTATAAGAGTGTCCGCAGGTTTGTAACCCAACATACCAGTTTCTTTTAATAAATCAAGAACATGTTTTCTTTGAGATACTAAAATTCTCTCTCAGCTTCGAGCTATTTCCATATCAAGAAAGCATTGAAATTTACCCAAATCTTTCATTTCAAATTCTGAAGCAACACCTTTCTTTACTCAGGTAATTTCCTTAATATCATCTCGTGTTATAATAATATGTCAACGTATACTATTAAGATAGTCACTTTACCCCTCTTTATGCTTGAAAAACACAGTATGATCCGTCTGTGCCTGCATATAAACTTGTCATTTTATTACTTTCATAAATCTGTCAAACCAAGCACGTGGAGACTGCTTAAAACCAGACAAACTTTTCTACAATTTGACTACCTTGACATGGCTGTCATTATTAAATCTCAGTGGTAGGTCTATAAAGACATCCTCCCTCAAGTTCTCCATTTAAAAAAATATTTTTTACATCTAATTGTTGTAAGGGTCAATGTAAGTTAGCAGTCAGAGATAGAAGTACATGTACCGTATTGATTTATACAACATGAGCAAAAGTCTCTTGATAATCCACACCATAGGTTTGTGTATAATCTTTTATGACTACTCTACCTTTATATCTTTCAATAGTACCATTGGCCTTGTATTTCACTGTGAAGACTCACTTACATCCAATAACAGTTTTGTCTTTTGGCTTTTCCACCACATCCCAAGTCCGATTCTTTTTTAATGCATGTATTTCTTCCAAAATAGCAGCTTTATATACTGGTTTTTTCAAGACTTTACCCACTATTTTTGCAATCTCTACATCTTTCACATTTGTAATAAACGTCTTCTAGTATCCAAAGAGTTTATTATATCCAACAAAATTTGAGATTGGAGGATGAGTGGAAGACCTAGTTTCCTTTCTCACTTCATGAAACTTCTAGGTCATGATTCTCAATATCTGAATCCCGATTTGAGGTTTGAGATTGCATGGACTCAACATCCTTTGCTTTCTTTCGATTTTTTCTTCTTGAATAAGTTAACAAATCTTTGACTCTATGATTGACAGTATGGATAGACTGTAAAGTTTTTCTTGATGGCGAATTTGTGTTTATGGTCTCGATTTTGGTTAAGAAGATTATTTCTTCATTTTTCATCACAGATTATGATGTGCACTTATTAGGATTTTCTACAAATTTTGGAGTTTGTGGGACAGGATCCCGGTTCAACTCCCACGGGTTTGAGGCAAGGTTTGGTGTGATGGGATTTGATTTTTGCATTGAATCTCAAATTTTCTCATTTAAATCCATATTTGGAGATTTGGACTTTAAATCTGGAAAAATAATCTCACCATTGCTTATTTTAAATTGTTCCCAGAAATTTGGATCACTCCCACTCTCCCCTTGAGGCTAATTTCGAGTATAAAAAGTTTGATTCTCAAAAAAGTAACATCAATAGAGGTATAGTATTTTCTTTTTTGAGGATAATAACACCAATAACCTTTTTGGGTATCAGATTGAGAAGCTCCAGATTGAGCCTCAGAATCATTTCCTCTTATATCCGACATGGTTCTATCAACTTATTAGTTCCTTTTTTTTTTGCTCTGATACCATAAAAGAGACTAGTAAGAAAAAAACTTTATATCTATAGTGTACTGATTTGAATAATCTTCATTCTTTTTTAAATAGAATAATGTACAGCAACTTTATATAACCGCGTAAGAGAAATATACAGGTCCTAATTAATGAGAATCTGTCATTCTAATTTAATCATTCTAAATACAAAAGATTTACAAGATACTACAAAATATTTCTACATCCTAAAAATACAACCAATCAGCTTAAATATAGAATAAATAATTAATTCTGAAATTACAGTCAATTATCTTAAATGTAGAATAAATAATTAACTAACTTTTCTTCATTAAAAGCTCTCAAAAGCTCTCTTAATGAACTTCGCAACAACTATGATGCTACAATTGCAAATGTAGGATTGAATTTCCAGTGGTTATGTTTTATATCTCTACTAAAAGAATTTACATTTTATATTGATTTGTTTACCGCTTCTTAATTTCTACATGATCGGTACCTCATACCAATTAGTCGAATATAAATTATACATAATTGATTGAACACTACTTAAAAATGATTCTTCCACTCAGACAAATGCTCTGTGACATCTTAATCATTTCTATATATTTTCTGCACTCATATTTTTTCTCATTTACATA